TTGCTCAAGGGCAGTACGAAGCTCATGTAACGAAAACAATTCGTTATAATCTTCGCCATTATCCGATTTATAATATATTCTTTTCTTCTCCTCTTGTTTCTAATATTTTTTAAACTCGGGGACATAATCTGACTAAGAAGAATGCTTGGCGAGGGTTTCACCAAGTTTATTCGCAATGTCAGCTTTATCAGTTAATAAATTGTCACCGTCTTTAAGATGGTGAACACTAGATTTTGAGCCTTTGCTTTTTATTCTTTGAACCTTGTTCCACACCTTTGACACCTTTGACATCGGTGTACTATCGCAGTTGCTAATTTATACTACCATAATAATACAATAGTATTTATCTATTCATAAAACATACTGTTAAAATTTATCTAATAATTCTATTTCTTTAAAAATAATTATTAAATGATAATTTACATGTGATCAAAGTTAACGTTAGTGGCGGCAATATCAGATTCATCCTTTTAAGTATCATTTGACATCTATTTAAATGAGGCTGCTTCTGTCACTTTCGTATACCATGCAAATGCCTTTGACCAAATCTTCTTTCCTTTGCAGTTGAGGACTTCAGGTGTCTACGTCATGTCGAAGGCGGCCCTGCACATACATTTATTTACTAGATACCTTGCTCATGGTTAGTTTTTGAAACCTTTTACAAAACTTCAGATGGCCAACTCCTGTAAGCTGCTGCAGTTTCGTGTGGAGAATTTTATATAATGATATATTACACGGTGAACCGAATTACTCGATGAATACATGCATACGTATGGGAAGGAAAATGTGTTATCATAAATGTTTTGAACATTATCTAAGATGTTAGAGGTTGTTTTAAGTGCACAGGGTTGTGTGCTGTGCACTAGGGCTGGATATTGCCCTGATTCTCATATTGCAATAATTTAAGAGATATTGCAATACATATTGTGATATATTGACTGGAAGGTTTCTGCCCAAGTGTGTACATCATTAATTCAACTCTGTGTGTGACATCGTCTTCTGAGTTGCTGTTACACCATACTTTCAGGCTCCCCGTGCCCATTGTGTATGGCTGTATGCCAATGGTTTACGGATAAATGAGTGAGTGAGTGAGTTAATATTTACCGTCACATCGGCAATATTTCAGCCATATCGTGACGAGTTTACGGATAAATGAAATGATATAGAGCCTTAATGTAGAATGTTTAATTGAAGTACTGTATTGGAACAAAGTTTTGCGAACAAAATGATAAATTTAATAGTATAACAGGATTTTCATTATCAGCGTTGTTCAAAGCAGTATTTAATTATTGTTACTGTATGTCAGTGATTCATTCAGATTCAACTCCAATATAAACATTAGTTAACATGAGCTATTGCAAAATGAAAACAAAAACATGATTTAGGTGATCTTCTTGAGCTTAAATTATCATGTGACATCCAATATATTAGTAAGATTCTTGACTAGAATGTCATAATATAGTCCCACAAAATTTATAAGACTTTGGCCTTTATGATATATTGATAACATATGTCCTATTATAAAGCAAACACAATGGTCACTCAGAGCCAGAGGTTCTACTAATAAGTCCAAATAAAAGATTGGTCAAATCTATTAAGGGCATTTAGAAGTGGAATGCATAAGAAAAGCAAGATTTATGGATGTCACCTTCTTTATTGTGAATAGCACGAAGTTTCGGAGTGTATGCTTGCTCCTTCATGACTCGATGAAGGAGCAAGCATACGCTCCGAAACGTCGTGGTATTCAAAACAAGAAATTGACATCCATAATTCTTGCTTTTTTTAAAAGATTGGTCCATTTGAGGCCACTTAATTCCTCCAAAACGTCACATATGAAACCATTCAAAGCCCCAAAACTGAAAGCATTTGGTAGAATATCTGGCACTTTTGGAGGCAGTAATAAAGACACTTCCACTTGTAAAATGTTACATGAAACCAAGAGAAATACATGTATATTTGGTACTTTTAGAGCACATTTTGTTGCTATGGCAATCAAGGGCAGATAATTCAAAGGTAGCTAATTCTGGATGACCCAATATATTGCAGAATCTGAACCATATCGCGATAATCGTATTGCGAGATACTGTATCAGTATATACCGGCTCACGGTATTATTGCACAGCCCTACCTGGCGCCTTAGCCAGCTCGCCCACCACGCCCCCTTGGGCTACATGTAAAACGGTTCCATAAAGAATCCTGGTTTCGCGCGGGTTACGTGTCAATGCAATCAAGTAAGTACACCCTGAAAAGCAAGAATTTTTGTTTAAGAGTTTTCATAGTTATTGTTGATTCATTTATGTAGACCTATTTGAGTTCGGTGTAAAATAGGGGCGGTGGTGTAGCCTAATGGTTAAAGCGTTGGCTCGTCATGCCGAAGACCCGGGTTCGAATCCCCACATTGGCACAATGTGTGAAGCCCGTTTCTGGTGTCCCCCGCCGTGATATTGCTGGAATATTGCTAAAAGCGGCGTAAAACCAAACTCAGTTTTGTCAGTCGGTGTAAAATGCGATACAATAACCAGTAATAGGCACCATGTGTTGTATCACATGTGTTTTTATTTTGTTCCATCTGGTTGCACGGTTAGTGAAACCTTCTTACTCACTTCCACAAATACAGTATTCGTAAGATTTTCACTAATATTGTCAGAGGTTCACTCTGTCCCTTTCTGGAGTCAATCGTAGACAAATATTATATACAGCGCACATAATCTCACAAGGCATCGCACAGTTTTTACAACTGTACAATATCATCGCAATTACTTCATAAACATACATTGTATCGGACATCACGCAGGCAGATGAAACTGGCATAAAATAAGTAATTCAGCTCAGTGCGTGTCTTTTTGTAAGTCTCTTATACGAAGATGATCTTTATTCGTAATAAAACAAGGCACAGGACGATGAATCTGACAATGTGAAAAGAAAAATAAATGAAAAATAATGAAATATTGCAAATGAATATTACATCCATAAATTTGGATTGTCTTTCGTTTGTGGTTGTTTATTGATTATGTTATTTTGGTTTCCTGCTATCATTCCATACACTCTTAACTGTGCTATTGTTTGATTGTGACCCATTGTGACAATTGTTGTCAGTTTAAGTGTTGCATTTGATGTTAGTGGTGTGTTCATTTTGACAGCTGTATTCACTATACTGTTTTCATTGTTTTAGCCCAGGCTATGTACCCAGTCCAATAGTGTCAAAGTAGTTGACTAAAGACGAAGCTGATCAGGTAAGTGCGTTAAACCACCAAATCTTGTGTGGAAATCTGTGATTGATAGTGAGAGCCGTTCAGTGGCGTTGCAAAGAAACGACACTCAGCCTGACCTCCCAATCCTATTAAATCGCCTCCTGCAACAAACACCACTTCCCTTTATGTAAGTCACAGCCTGCCCAAGTGGGATGGGGAAACGATTGGTGACGGTATAGTGCCAGAGCTTAAAGTCCTCTCTGATGGCAGCATATATACTACTACTAAGTATGGTAAATGCGACGCCAATTGGTCGAGCGAAATTTGTCACATTGTGGCCTTCCTAGCCTCGGATAAAGCAGCCTATATAACTGTGGAGTGTTTCAGGGCCGATGGATGGTTCTCAGTGACCACACCAGCTTTGCCTGAACATGTTGAGGGATGCTTGAGGCCAAGGCGGATCGACAGGCCCTCGTGTCTTTGCAAGGAATAATTTCAATATATATATAAATTTGGGATGGCCCCGACTCGAAATGCTTCACAGTACAATACATAATGACAAGGCCGGACACTTCGGTGAACCCCACCCGCCTGCTTTGCCGATCGCTACTTATGTAAACATAATCATTGATAATTGGCCTATTGATCACCACTCATGACACCTACCAAATCTTTATTGTTATTTCTGCAAGTCGGTTGAAACCCGATTTTGACCCTTAACTAAACGATCTTGACACAAATGGATGACGATATATCCGCACAAAACGGGTGTGTGGTCGAAGCAATCCCACTGACGTACAACATTGGAGTGCTGAGTTCATCAAAGTAGATTACATTAAGTTATTGATAGGACGCGGTCATTTAGCCTGAGTATTTAATTACGGTGCTGAACAAAATGTCTGGAGTAAATAGACCCTAGCTAGGCTGTATGCCGAGTGTGGAGCCATCATGGCAGGCATTGCTTGTTGATTGTTGAAAGAGGTGAAATTCGTCAAAGGCATTTAGCAGTTGGTGTAGTAATACAAGACAAATCTTTTGGATAACAACCTCTTGATGTATTCTACACAACGTTTCTGGGCTAGTTCTTGCCCCTTCGTCAGGTGGATGAGATGAAGGGGCAAGAACTAGCCCAGAAACGTTGTGTAAAATAAATCAAGAAGTTTTTGTGTTAATTATCCATAAGATTTGTCTTGTATTGTTGAGAGAGGTGACAAACCGGATCGGGTGTGCAGGATAAATGATTTTGTTGATGCATTTTATCATAGATCGATGACAATCACTTCACTAGATTCTTAGGTCCAGACTCCATTATTTACTGACCACCATCATATCGCTGGAAAATTGCTGAGTGCTGCGTAAAACAGTTAACAAACAAAACAACAATCTTGTCTACTGAAGTGGATAAGGTGATCAGACTCAGTGACCGGGCTGATTATCTGACATAATACTCCAAAGGTCGACCTTTGCTCATATCCTCAGTCACTAGTATACCTGTTTCTTTCAGATTTCCATTCGTGGTACAGCTTAAAAAATGTTAATTGCAGCGTTTTGCAAAATTCAATTAGCCTATCTTTCCTCCGACAGTAAAACGGTATCTTGGTGATGATCCCAGGTCAGAGGTGATATACCCTTTTTCGTAATGGATGGAAGTGGTGGTCAGGCTATCGAGTCATGGATATTGTCTTACTGGCCATAAATAGACTTGCCAAGTCGTGATGTAAGGTTGAGTCATGACACAAATAGCTGTAGAGCGAGTGTGCACATGTGTCAACATTGATATCTGTAACTTGACCCGTTCCTGCTGTAGATAATACAATCACCTGACTCGTCGCCGTGAAAGGTATTGCATTACACACAGGACATTGAGTCTCAACGAAATAGACTTGTTGATAAGTTACCTGATGTTGAAATGGCTCTGAGTCGGAAAGTTGCTATCATTACAGGTGAGATTGTTTATACTTATATAGGATCTGCCTTCCATGATTTTGAATCCCCGAACAGTGATATGTCAGCAAGTAATGCGTGTTGCAAGAAGCGAGTAGAAATCGGGTGGTGAAGTTAGGGCATTTGTTAATGAACACAGTCAGCAATAGTTGACCGTGGCTCGTAAATTACAGTGACCAGACCAGAAAGTAGACTGATGGACCTTGTGAGGCTGTTGAGATGCGAGGACACGAAATCAACCGAAATACTGAGTAGGCCAACAGGTCCTATCAGGCACGTGACAGGATAAGCATACACTGAGGTTTATTGGGGAAACCTCTGACCACATGAACACTTGATTTGCTGCTGTTCTTGGGTCGTGGTGGCGATGTTGACTGTGGTACTGATGTTTGTGTCGCTAATGCAGATGTTATGTGTGTGCTGTATGTTATTTTTGCATTATTTAACTGCTGATGTTTGTCAAGAAACTGATGGTGCTTGATTTTGCGAGTGCACGTCTGTGTTGTTTATGGATCAGCTGGTCATGGATTTGTGATGTCGAGGATGTCGGTGCTGCTGCTGATGTTTGTTGTACTGTTAATGTTGCTTTTGTTCGGAGCGAGTTTCCTGCCTCGGGTTTTCTCGCTTATAATTATTGTTATTCCTCCAACTGTTCCTTTGGAAATGACGTTCATTCCAAATACATATCATTTATTTATTACTGTAGCAGATGTTGTTTGTGGTGCTGTCGGTGAGGTTATTTGAGAGCCTTATGATAACGGTCGGGCTGCTGATAATGTTTTGGTTGTCACTTGTGTTATTCCCTCCAGCTGTTGGACGGTCACACTAAGTAATTAGAATCTATGCATTACCATCCCTATGGAATATAAGAGCTGGGACAATTTTCCTGCAACATTTCAATAGTTTAATGTTGTTATTAGTCATTCATGTTAAGTTATTCATGTCAAGGTTTGTGATCAGAATTTACCAAGATACTGAACGATGCATGCATCTGAACATTGGACATTGGTATCTGGAGTTTAATGTCATAACATATATTAGGTCAACAAATTAATGAATTATATATACACACACACATACACACAGGTTCCAGTTCGGGTATTGGGGCAGGCATTGCAGCAGTGTTTGCAAAAGAAGGAGCTAAACTGTCATTGACTGGTAGGAACCAAAAGAATTTGGAGGAAGTGGTCGAGAACTGCAAGAAGGCAGGGTGTCAGGTCAGTAGAAATCAATAAATAATGTCACCATTCAGTTCATTAATGCATTGCCCCAATAGTCAAAGGCGCTATTCTGTTTGGCCGTGGAAGTCATGTCCATTATGCGATCAGGGTCCACAAATCGATATCGCTAGTTTCCAATTTCGTTTAAAAATTAGTGCTAAAAGCAATCGTAAACTTTCTTTCCTCACTGCCAATTTGACTATTACATTGTATCGAAATACTACTTTATCAAGATGATCACTTTTCTATTTCAGGATGTTCTCCCAAACGTGGGTGACATCACGCAGGATGCTTTCAGAAGGACTCTCGTTGAGGCAACCAAGAAGAAGTTCGGGAAAATAGATATACTGGTGAGTATACTTCGGCTTCTGCAGAGGGGCTAGAAGGACCTAAGCATAAATACTGTCTGCACTATCACGATAGTTGTTGTTTGTTGCTTGAGTCTGCAGGGCCACCTATGTGTAATCGATACGGTGCCAGACACGTTCGACTAATGTTATCGATGGGTCGTAATAACATCAAAATTTGAAAATATTGTTTAAACTGTGATGGTTCATGTAACTCGTTTATCACCCATCCACATGACAGTTGCAGGACCAGAACATCCTGGGATTGATAGTTTAAGCAACGATCCATACTGTAGGAATACGGTGAGACGAATGTACCAAAGTCCTTGACTACCCGATCGCTTCTCTGGACAAACACGGGTTTCATGGACATCACCTCAAATTCCAAATATACATGGGTTGCTCATGTTAAAGATGACAATGCCAACAGCATTATATAAAAATCCATACACCCGTCACATGAAGATTTCAGGGCGTTGAGGGAACGTTCTGGTAATATCACTCTAATTCAGGCCATCTTCAGTGAGACGCTTCAACCACTAGGCTAAACCACAGTCGTAAGAAGCGTTTTAACAGATTTGATGGTCAGCGGTTAAATGGTGGATAACGTGTCACAATACCTTGAGGGCGTGAATCGTTGCTCATATTATGAATTGTTGGGTTTTCCAAACTGGAATATTTACAAGCAGACGCCTTATAATTGTTTACAGAGTATGGCGTTACACCAGAACACAAACAAACAAATTGTATCATTCCTGTGTTTAGGTGAACAATGCTGGGATCGCACATTTGAATCCGCTGATATCAACGACCAAAGAAGAGTACGACACAATAATGGCTATAAACGTGGAGGCACCTTTGTTTTTGACACAGTTAGTTGCACCGCATTTGATTGAAAGTAAAGGTACGTTCTAAATGAATGTGAATGCATGAGTGTTTCCTTTTTGGAACAGTTTATTCTGAAGAATATATCAGCAGAAAGAAATTGCCTGAAGATTTACACACAAAATCAGTTTTCCACTGGTCTATATGCTGGACGTTCTCGAAAGAGGTGTTTTCATCACAAATTGTTTAGTTCATCGTTTCAATGAAAACATTGTGTGTCTTGAGGCTGTAACATATTCAAAAGAAACGACATATTGGACTAATTCTAATAACTGCTTGTCCGATTGTCCATAAGATCTTAACGTGGAAGCTTTCATCTTGAAGATTTTATGTTTGTACAGTCAAATAAGTTTTTTAGTTTGATCAAATCTTTTAATCATTTTGTTTCAGGAAACGTGGTCAATATTTCGTCTTGTGACACGTCTACAATTGTGAGTGTTATGTCGGCAAATGCAAGACTAATTCATACCCTCTTGAACTTAACCTCATTAAACCACATGTAGTTCACAATAAGCATTATTATTATGTATGTATTCACACTAAACTAGTGGTTCACCTCTTTCTACATCAACGTTTCTAACAGACAGGCAATTTCAAGTCCGAGTGGGTTCAACAATGTCTGGTCATTACAATCAGGATCAGAGTGTGCCACAAGGAAGCATTTTGTCTGTACCATTATTTAGTATTAAAATACACAGTCTTTCTAAGGTTTTAAATCATTCATTTGATGAATCACTTTTCGTGGATGATTTTAATGTTTCTAGTCGTGGTAAAAACATGCATATAATAGAGAGATAGTTACAACTTTGTCACAATAATATTCATGAATGGCCAATTGAAATCGACTTTAAATTCTCTAAAATTGTATACATATTTGCCGTAAATATAAACAACATAAAGACCCGGGACTATTTTTAAATGTCAAGGAGGCCAAGTTCTTGGGACTTGTTTTTGACTCTCATTTGACTTTTGTACCACACATTAAATACCTAAAAATACATACCTGAAGGCACTTGATTTGTTGAAAGTCGTTTCCAATTCTAAGTGGTGAGGGGATCAAGCTACGCTCCTACTCCCATATCGATCATTGGTCCGCTCGAAACTTGATTATGGCTCCATCGTATATGGCGGAGGTGACATCCATAAATCTTGCTTTTCTTATGCATTTCACTTCTAAATGCCCTAAAAAAATTGACCAATCTTTTATTTGGACTTATTAGTAGAAACTCTGGCTCTGAGTGACCATTGTGTTTGTTTTATAATAGGACATATGTTGTCAATTTACCATAAAGGCCAAAGTCTTATAAATTTTGTGGGACTCTATAATGACATTCTAGTCAAGAATCTTGCTAATATATTGGATGTCACATGAGATTTTAAGCTCAAGTAGATCACCTAAATCATGTTTTTGTTTTCATTTTGCAATAGCTCAAGTTAACACATGTTTATATTGGAGTTGAATCTGAATGAATCACTGACATACAGTAACAATAATTAAATACTGCTTTGAAGTGTACTCTGTTAAAGAAAACAACGCTGATAATGAAAATCATGTTATACTATTAAATTTATCATTTTGTTCGCAAAACTTTGTTCCAATACAGTACTTCAATTAAACATTCTACATTAGGGTTCTATATCATTTCATTTATCCGTAAACCATTGGCATACAGCCATGCACAATGGGGACGGGGAGCCTGAAAGTATGGTGTAACAGCAACTAAGAAGACGATGTCACACACAGAGAGCTATTATGAATTAATGATGTACACACTTGGGCAGAAACCTTCCAGTCAATATATCACAATATGTATTGCAATATCTCTTTAAATTATTGCAATATATCGCAATATGAGAATCAGGGCAATATCCAGCTCTATTAAATGTATCCAAAGACACCCTAAGTATAAACAAGAAGACAAAATCATCAATATCCCCCGCAATGGCAAAATACTCTTCTTGATTATGTCTACGAGTTATGATTATGTCAAATATTTAGGTGTGTACATAGAAAAGTGGAAGGAGAGTATTGAAAGGTTTTTAAAGTTCTGCTCCAGAAAGGAGCACTATCACCAATTTCAGTCTATGTCAAACTTGTTACCATGGAAAGGCCAAAAATATTTTATTCAGAAATCCAAAACTACCAAAAGGCACCAGTACACCACCAGATCTATCTATGTGCCAAGTTTGGTGAAGAAATAGTTAACGGTTTTAGAGTTCTGCTCCGGAAAAGAGCACTACCACTAATTTCATTCTAAGTCGAACTTGTTGCCACGGAAACGCCAAAAAAATGTTATTCAGAATTCCAAAACTACCAAAAGGCTCCAGTACACCACCAGATCTATCTATGTGCCAAGTTTGGTAAAGAAATAGTGAACAGTTTTAGAGTTCTGCTCCGGAAAAGACAAATATGACGGACGGACGGACGGACGCACGCACGCACGGACGGAGTCCATTTTAATACCCCCCGCAAAACGCGTTGCGGGGGATAACAATATTGTATCTATTCAGATTCTCTTCCTTGTAAATCTATCTTGTAAACATCCACTTTTAAAAGAAATTAATGAATTATGTAATGATCTTGCTACTGGCCAATACGACATCGTCTTCTGTTGGTTACCAACCCACGTTTGAATTTCTGGTAACACAATGGCCGATTTTGCTGCTAAGGGAGCACTCAGCAAATCTATGATACAACTTCTTATTCCATACTTTGATGACAAACCTTTGATTAGATCGTACATCCGTGATCTGATGCATAAGAAGTGGGACTCCCAAGTAGGTATGAATAAATTACTTCAAAATAAACCAACTATCGGTTACACCTACTCGGGTTGTCAGTCCAGTTGCTTGACTGTATTGATGTTTCCATCACAATGGATAAGTATTTCCATGTAAAAACTGTTAAGAATCTTTTTAGTACTGTTAACGTTCATTTAATTTTTGAATTTGTAAAAGATATTGAATTATTAGATAGATTTTGATGAATGGTTTGTAAATATACTGAGTCAAAAAAAGAAACTTCACAAAATGTAATTTGAAAAATAATGAATAATTTTTCTCTGATGATACATCTATGTATCCGAAATGGGATCCCTATCTTTCGACTCTAGAAAAACGTTAGCAAAACCCACTCAAACCCATCCATTCGTCGTGCAAATGACGTTAGTGGCAAATCAGGTTTTGCACGTGCAGTCGATCACGTGATCTTCGCGTCGAAGTTTTCTTCATATGCACGTGTTTGCATTGGCCTCAAGAACCATAGTTCTAACGGTACTTGAAATGCCACGATTGTCAAATGTGCAACGTGAACGTGCCGTTGGCATGTTGGATGCGGGAAGATCAGTTATTGACGTCGCAAAAGCAATGGGATGCAGCCGTCGTACTGTGTATGACTTGCGAGGTCGTCTACAACAAACTGGCACCACTTCTGATCGCCCAAGGTCGGGTCGTCCACGTGTGACGTCACGAGCAGAGGACCGTCAAATCGTCCTACGTCACCTACGTGACAGATTTCTGCCGGCTACACGAACCAGGGCTGAGATGTTTAGAGGTCGACTGTCCTCACAGACCATTCGAAATCGGTTGCGGGCTACCAATCTCCATTATCGACGTCCATATCGTTGGCCAATATTGACGCCGTTTCATCAACGTCAACGTCTGCTGTGGGCCCAACGTCACCTCCGATGGACCCAGAGAGACTGGAATCGAGTCGTCTTTAGCGATGAATCAGGTATACCCTCAGGTTCGCGGACGGCAGGCATGGAGTCTGGAGACGACGTCGTGAACGGTATGCCCAATGTTGTGTACAGGAAGTCGACAGATTCGGGGGCGGAAGTTGCATGGTGTGGGGTGCTTTCTGTGGGAACAACCGTTCCCGACTTCTGGTCATCCGTGGAAACCTCACAGCTGCTGCTAACCGCGACCAGGTGCTCTCCCCCTGAACTCGTTCCTTTCATGGCGGCTCATGGCCCGGGTCTACAGTTACATCATGATAATGCTCGGCCGCATACCGAGATGTTGACACGAAATTTCCTTCGTTTTGCTGGAATCAACGTCATGGACTGGCCATCGAGGTCCCCTGACCTTAATCCAATAGAGCACGTTTGGGTTGCACTTGGGAGAAGGCTTCGTGGTTTTAGGAACCAACCTCAGAATTTGCAGGAATTTGGCGCTGCCTTGCAAGAGCAATGGCGCAGAATCCCCAACCACGTGTTCACAAGCATCAGGCAGTCGATGAGGAGACGGTGTTTGGCAGTGGTGAATGCGCGGGGCGGCCATACACGATATTGAACTGAGAAATTTTGCATTTATATTCTTGTGAAATGACATTCTGTATACCCATGTTTTGGAACGGCGGTGTAGCCTAATGGAACTGATTATAGCACTGTCAGTGTATCGAGTACATCACACAGATCTCAGCAATGAAATAATAACAATTTAACCATCTTACCATCTCTTGTTCTTTTATAGTGCCCTGAATAAAGAATGTGAAGTTTCTTTTTTGACTCAGTATAGATAAATATTTTATTATTGGTAGTTTAGATTAGTAACTGAGGTTGTTAGTGGCTGTACCCGCAAAGGGGTTCGAAGTATTGTAAAAGTATTATCCTCCTGTGTGTGTGTTATTTTAATTTATGCCCAGATTATCTAAAATTGCTAAAAGAGAAGGGTTGGTGTAAATCCAGCTAGGGTCGATGCAGGAAGCAAATGTACTGTAAGTCCTCATAGTCCCTAGTATGGTGATCCACCTTCAGTTGTGGCAATATCTAGCCTGTTCTTATATTGTATTGTCTTCTGTAACTGAAATATTTCAGATTGACATACTAGTTTCATATTCATATCTGTGATATTTTAGTTGTTTTTACTGTCCTTCGCTGACATTTGTTTTTTTAATAATTTACCCTTATTTATTGTGAAGATATATTTGTTTTAGTTACGATATGGATGAAATATTGCCGATGTGACTGTAAATCTTAACTCACTCACTCACGACGTAGTTCAGTATGTATTCGCACTAAGCTAAGTTGATGTGTGATAAAATGAGTGATATGTGAGTAAAGTTAGCATTAGTGGCAGCAATATCAGATTCCTCCTTTAAATATCATTTGACATATATTCAAATGAGGGTAACAAACTGCTTCTGTTATTCTCGTATATCCTGCAAATGTCATGGACCAATTTTTTATTTTCTTTCCCGAGCAGATGCCGGGTGTAGGTGTCTACGCCATGTCGAAGGCGGCCATAGATACATTTACAAGATACCTTGCTCACGGTTAGTCTTTGAAAGCTGCTACAGTTTGCTGTTGAGAATTTTGTCATGGAGAATACAGTGCACCGATTTATCTGATGAATGCATATATACATATGGGAAGGAAAATCTGTTATCATAAATGTTTTGAACACTTTGAAATATAAGAATTTACATGTAAAAAGGTTTGATAAAGAATCTGACTGAGACATTTTCCCGAACGATCTATACCTGTCGCAGAACCCAAACTGAAAGGATCGCGAAATATCACTAAGCGTTGTTAAGCAATAAGCAACATTTCCTTCCACAGAACTGGTTTCACACGGGGTACGTGTCAATGCAATCAAGTACACCCTGAAAAGCTAACAGATTCCTACTTAATGCCGATTGTTTGATGTAGATCTCTTAGACCTCAGTTTAAAATGAGATACAATAAGCTGAGTAAATAGGCACCATGTGTTCTATCACATGTGTTTATATTTTATATGTGTTAATGAAAGCTTATTAGTCACTTCCACAAAGATAGTATTCGTTAGGTTGTCACAAATATTTTCAGAGGTATACAAATATTTTCAGAGGTATTCAAGTTAATTTACAACGAATACAATCACATATTCTATATTTAGTCACAGACAGAATGTGTCGATCTAGCCTACTCGTGTCTGAAGGTGGGTGACTGTTGTTAGATACAAAACAGCAGAAACCTGTCAACTTTTTTAACGTTAACTTATATAACAGTGACAATCTGCAAGGGAACAATAAAACGCAGAGATGGTGAACATTTGTTTAAGAAGACGGTAACAGTTTGCTGAAACGGACTGTGACCTAGTTTTGGCTCGCGTCAGTGTCCTTGTCAGGAACAATAACTCTAAATTTAATCCGAGTCCGAGTCCGAGTCGACAACAGTTTTCGATCGAAGCCGTTCAGTCCATACCTTGCGACTTCCATTTCACCATATTCAATGTTTATCACATACACGTGAAAGGAATTTAGTGGTTGTATTATTCTCGTTACACGTCCAGTGATGTCTCCGTCCACTTTGAACAGGTCATTGACTTTGATTGAACTTAACTGGGTAGCCAAGTTCGTTGACAAAGGACGGTTTTATAAATTTTAGACAATATTTCTTACAAAACAATGTTAAGTAAACGACACCATATTGTTAATGAATTATGAAATAAAGCATTTAATTAGCATCAAAATCGAAATTCTGTATATATTTTTTTGGTTATATTATAAAATCTTGAATCATTGAGATTACAGCACGGACAATTCTTCAATGAATCGATGAAATATTATGAATGGACGCAGTGGTGTGAAAGTAGTTCCGGCATCCAATGAAAATGTACAAATAAGCGATCGACCAATCAACGTCGAGAATCCCTAAATTGCACACTGAGCAAATATCAAAAATATATTACACGGGATCTCCTCACCGGTATGGGTGATGATACACACAAAATCTTTTGTTGAGGCATTGCACAAGTTTAACAACTGTATCATCGCAAGCACCACAAAATATACATGGTATAGGGCATAACGTAGGAAGACTGACATGGAATAGGTAGTTTCATCTGAGCACGTGTGTTTTTGTAAGTCTCTTCTACGAGGATGATCTGTATTCGTAACAAAACAAGGCACAGGAAGATCTTTAGACATTGTGAAAAGAAGAGTGATACAAACTATTGCAAATGAATGTCACATCCATAAGTTTGGATTGAAAGTTGTGGTTTTCGTTTTCGTTTGTGGTTGTTATTGAATATCCTATACTTGTTTTCCTGTTATTAATCCATATACCCTTACTATTGTTATTGTAGTTTGTGACATACTGTCACTATTGTATTCAGTTTAAGTGTATTATTCATTATCAGTGGTGTGTTCACTATGCTATTTTCATTGTTTAGCCCAGGTTATGTACCCAGTCAAATGGTGTCGAAGTTGTTTTCGACTGGTGACGAAGCTGGTCAGGTAAGTGCATTACCCCACAAAATCTTGTGTCGAAACCTGTGATTGATAGCGTGAGCCGTTGGGGCGTTGCAATAAAACGACATTCGACCTTACGTCACAATGCCATAAAGTCGCTTCCTACAACAAGGACTACTTCCCATTATTTCACAGACTTCTCAAGTGGGATGGGGTAACGATTGGTGACCGTGTAGTACCAGAGCCTAATGTACTCTCTGATTGCGGCACATATACTACATCCTTTCTCTCATTTATTCACTCTCTCTTTTTCAGTTGCATAGAAGTCTGATAAATGCGACGCCAATTGGTCGAGCTGCTACCCCAGAAGAAATTGGTCACATTGTGGCCTTCCTAGCCTCGGATAAAGCAGCCTTTGTAACTGGGGAGTGCTTCAGGGCCGATGGTGGGTTCACAATGACCACACCAGCCCTTGCTTGAAAATGTTGAGAGACGCTTGAGGTCTACTCGGATCCACCATGAGCAGATTATATAAGAATCATTCTCATGTGTACCAAGCACATTCGCCCATGAGACAAATGCAAGAGAAACATTACAAATGACTTCTAATTTATAAAATCATTTGGAATCACCAGCTTAAAAATTCTGAAATAATTCTGAAATATTATTTATATGAATACAATGTCTTTTAACAAAATCTGCAACATATTGCAAAAGATAAATAAACATATATACACTCTGAAAAAGTGTTATCAATGTGTTTCTGGTTAAGCAGTGGTGCAGAGGTTGGTGAGGGGCAACTTCAGTAGCAGTATCCCCTCATTTGGCCATCGTAGATCAGCAGCATCTTTAAACGTCATACTGGTTGCTATGGGTTGTAAATATACTCATGCTAATAATGGTTGTCACCTCAGTCCTGTTAATAAAATTGAAGGGGGTAACAAACATTATTGGCATGAGTATATATGTCAAATATGATTAGTTGCCAACTCCAAGAAGGCTGTCCGTCTTAGGCGCACACAGTAAGAGATGTACAGGTTTTAGAAGACATTTCAGTGATCAATCACCGTTTGACAGGAATGTGTTGTCAACTGTGTCCCCTTGTCACACAGCTGCCTGCATGCACTTAAACAACAATTAAACAATGAAGTGACAAAATTAATGTCGTTCTGGGACTGATAGCGATCTGTCTCTTCTCCCAGTGAGTGAGTTAAGATTTAAAGTCGCATCGGCAATATTTCAGCCATATCGTGACTTAAACTAGTTCTAAATTTGTAATACAGACATATAATATATAAAACCCTGTCAACGAAGGACAGTAAAAATACTAGATAATCACAGATATCAATATAAAACTAGCGAACAAAGCTAAAACATTCCAATTAAAGAAGACAATACAATGTAAAAATGGGCTATAGATCGCCAACAACTGAAGGTAGATCACCATACTAGGGACCATGGGGACTTACAGTGCCTTTGCTACCTGCATGGACCCTAGCTGGATTTACACCATCCCTTCAGCCATTGGCGGTTATACTGAGATTTAGCCATACATTAAAAACACAAAAATACTACGATTAAAAACCTGGTACACTTAAATTGACTAAATGTTTTGGGACTTACGTACCCTCTCAGGAGGACAATAATTTTACGCTACTTCAATCCCCTTTGAGGGTACAGCCACTAACAATCTCAGTTACTAATTTAAATTACCAATAATAAAATATTTATCTATTTACAAATCAGTTAACAAATCTAATTCTTTTAAAAATGCAATAATTAAATGAGAACATATATTACTAAAAAGATCCTTCATAGTTCGTCATTTGAAATAGATATCCCTTGTGATGGAATATTCAACACAGTCAAGCAAGACATGCTTGACCGTGATTCTTTCATCACAAGGGATACAAAACGGAGGATCCTCACCTTTTAACAGGTATTCATGAGTATATCTGGTGTGACCAATACGACATCGTCGCATGATGACCTCTTCAAATCTGGACTGACAACCCAAGTAAGTGTAGCCAATATAGGGTTTTATTTCATGTAATTTATTAATACCTACTTGAGTGTCCCACTTCTTCTGCATCAGATCACGGATGTAAGTTCTAATGCTGGCTTTGTAATCAGAGTATGGAATAAGAAGTGGTGTCACAGATTTGTTGAGTGCCGCCTTGGCAGCAAGATCGGCCAAGGTATTCCCAGAAATACCAACGTGGCTGGATAACCAACAGAGGACGATGTCGTATTGGCCAGTGGCAAGATCATTATATAATTCTATAATTTCTAATAAAAGTGGATGTTTCCAAGAAAGATTTTTGATAGCCTGAAGGCAAGAGAGAGAGTCGGAAAATATTATATATTGTTTATATTTAGGATGTTTATGAATATACTTGAGAGCTGTTAGTATTGCGTTAGCTTCTGCTGTGAAAATTGAACTGTCATTGGGTAATCTGGAAGATATTGTTTTGGACCCAATGACAGTGGCACAAGCCACTGCGCCACCATCCTTGGACCCATCTGTATATAAGGATTTATATGTATTATATTTTCTTTTTAATTGATTATATTCTTGTTTATATTGCAATTCATTTGTTTCCGATTTTTTAAATGTTGTAAGTGTTAAGTCAACTTCTGGTCTAACTAACTGCCAAGGAGGAGAAGAAAGAAGACGGGAAGGAGATATATTTTCCAGCTCAATGCCGGCAGCAGCAATAAATGGCTTAATTCTGGGCCCAAGAGGCGGAACAAGAGAAGATTTTTGTTATACAAATCCTCATAAAGAGGATTAAAGACACAGTGAAATGCAGGATTAACCGCGTTAGAATATAATTTTGTAATATATTGTAAAGATAATTTTATACGGCGTTGGTTAAGAGAAGGTTCATCTGCCTCGACGTAAAGACTGTCAACAGGAGAAGTTCTGAAGGACCCAAGACAAAGTCTCAGACCTTGATGGTGGACTGAATCTAAGAGTTTTAAGTTGCTTTTACAGGCTCCACCATATACGATGGAGCCATAATCAAGCTTCGAGCGGACAAGTGATCTGTAAAGGTGTAGGAGCGTAGCTTGATCCCTCCCCACCTTGAATTAGACACGACTTTCAATAAATCGAGTGCCTTCAGGCATTTAGTTTTTAGAGATTTGATATGAGGAAGAAAAGTTAAATGGGAGTCGAAAATGAGACCTAAGAACTTGGCCTCTTTTACAACCTTGATGGGAGTGCAATTTAAAAACAGTTCTGGGTCTTTATGTGGTTTATATTTACGGCAGAAATGTATGCAATTAGTTTTTGATTTAGAAAATTTAAAGCCGTTTTCAAGACACCATTTATTTATTTTATTTAAACACAACTGTAGTTGCCGTTCAATAGTATGCATATTCTTACCGCGACAAGAAATGTTAAAATCATCCACAAAAAGTGATCCATCAATTGAATCGTTTAAAACCTTGGATAAGCAGTTGATAAGTGACAGACAAAATACTTCCTTGGGGGACACCCTGATCCTGATTATAATGGTCAGACAGGGTTGAACCCACTCGGACTTGAAATTGCCTGTCTGATAAAAACTGTGATATAAAAAGAGGTAAACGACCCCTTAAACCAAAATCATGTAAATCTTTTAAAATGCCATGCTTCCAGGTGGTATCGTATGCTTTCTCGAGATCAAAGAATATCGATACTGCATGTTGTTTATTTATTATTGCATTTTTGACAAAGGATTCTAAACGTACCAAATGATCAATGGTACTACGATTTTTCCTGAAACCAAATTTGAATATTTGTTATGAGATTATTGGTTTCAAGATACCATGTTAATCGATTATTTACTATTCGTTCCATGGTTTTACAGACGCAACTCGTTAAAGAGATTGGTCTGTAATTAGACGGATCAGTATGATCCCGGCCAGGCTTTGGTAAAGGGACTACAATGGCATTACGCCACGAAGGTGGGAAATTCCCTGAAGTCCATATTGTGTCAAAAATATTTAGAAGAGTCTCCAAACATGATTCCGGTAAATGCTTCAAGAGCTGATAGTGTATATTATTAGCTCCTGTTGCTGTGTCATGAGCTTGCTCAAGGGCAGTGTGGAGCTCATGTAATGAAAATAATTCATTATAGTCTTCGCCATTGTCCGAGTTAAAATTTATTCTCTTCTTCTCCTGTTGTTTCTGATATTGTTGAAATTCAGGGACGAAATTTGACGAAGAAGAGTGTTTGGCGAGTGTTTCACCAAGCTTATTGGCAATGTCAGACTTACCAGTTAATATATTGTCACCATCCTTCAGATGGTGAACAGTAGATTTGGAACCTTTGCCCTTAATTCTTTGGATCATGTTCCACACCTTTGAAATCGGTGTGCGTGAATTTATTTTAGAAACATATTTCCTCCAAGACTGACGCTTGTTCTGTTTAAATGTACGTCGAGCCTTGGCATTTAAAATTTTTACTTTATTCAAATTATGGACAGTAGGATGTCGCCGAAAGTATTTTTCAGCTTTCTTCCTGCTCTTTCTGGCCTGTTTACATTCATTATCAAACCATGGCTTACGAATATGTGGAACTGCAGAGGACTTAGGTATAGTTTGGTCAGCAATGTCATTGAGTAAATCGGAAAACAACTCTATCGGATCTTCGCTGTTCGCAAATACATCATGTTTTAAGCGATCAGCACATAATGTCTCATATAATGACCAATCAGCCCTGGCGAAGTTCCTTCTCGATAAAGGTGGATCATCACCAGGGTTGATTGTCTTGAGAATGGCAGGGAAGTGATCACTCCCACATAGATCATCATGTACCATCCATTCGAATTCATTATACAAGATGGAGTCAGCAAGTGATAGATCCAGGGAAGAATATGTTCCCGTAGCTGGATGTAAATAAGTGGATGAGTCATCATTAAAATACATAAATTATTATCGGAAATGAATTCCTCAAGGATTTTACCTTTAGTGTTGGTATGGACACCTCCCCAAAGTGGGTTGTGTCCGTTAAGATCGCCCATGATAACACATGGCTTAGGGAGTTGATCGTACAGATTTTGGAGATCTGTCTGACGGATATTAGAAGAGGGAGAGATATACAAGCTGCACAATGTCAGGGCAACATGCAGAGTCAGACGAACAGCAACAGTTTGAAGATCCGTATTTAGAGTGACAGGGCTATGAATAACGCTGTGATGTACCAAAATAGAAGCGCCTCCAGTTGCTCGATCCCCGGAGGAGAAAAAGAATGATAAGCATTATACTGTCTCAGATTAAAAGTATCTGTATTTTTAAGATATGTCTCTTGGAGACAGAATGCTGACGGGTGATGATCTTGTATGAGTAATTGCATCTCGTTGAAGTTATGTTTAAGCCCTCTGCAGTTCCATTGAATTATATTGGCCAATTGACTCATGTTGGCTCAATTGGCGATCTTTCACGAGAATGTGAGGGGGGGTAAGCCCCTCTGCTTATCCTGTGAATACAGGGTCACCTCCATGTCTAGAGGCCCAAAAGTGTTCTGTAAAGGAACCTCTAAAGGTAAAGGTACGACAGGTATTTCTTTCCCATTTAATTTTTTTCCTTTCTTCTTTTTCACTAGATCAGTGGCTGGCTGTGATGACACTATTTGCGAAGCAATCATCTGTGATGACTCAGACTGAATTTCTGTCTGAGACCCAGACGTTGACATAGTTGATGAGGCAGTAGGTTTTTTTAGGTGGGGAAGAAGGTTTGTGAGAAGAAAACACAGGTTTGTCT